AGGACTAACAATACTATGTTTAATAGGAGTGGTGATAGTGGGCAGTCATGTCTTGTCCCAGATTTTAGTGGGAAGCTTTTCAGTTTTTCACCATTGAGTACTATGCTGGCTGTAGGTTTGTCATAAATAGCTTTTATTATTTTGAGATATATTCCATTTATACTCACTTTGTTGAGACATTTTATCATAAACGGGTGTTAAATTTTATCATATTCTTTTTTCTGCATCTATTGAGTTGATCATGCAGTTTTTGTCCTTTCTCTTGTTGATGTGGTGTATTACACTGATTGATTTGCATATGTTGAACCATCCTTGTGTCCCTGGGGTGAATCCAAATTGATCATGTTGCATGACATTTTTATGTGCTGTTGGATTCTGTTTGCTAATGTTTTTTTTGAGAATTTTTGCATCTACGTTCATCAGTGATATTTTTCTGTAATTTTAATTTTTCGTAGTGTCTTTATCTGGTTTTGATGTCAAGGTGACAGTGAGTTCATAGAATGGGTTTGTGAGAGCTTCCTCCTTTTCAGTCTTCTGGAAGAGTTTGAGAAGGAATGATATGAGTTCTTTTTATGTTTGGTAGAATTCCCCAGTGAAGCAGTCTAGTCCTGGACTTTTATTTGTAGGGAGGCTTTATTGCTAATTCAATTTCATTTCTAGTGATCGGTTTGTTCAAATGGTCAACTTCTTTTTGATTAAGTCCTGGTGGATTGTAGTTTTCCAGGCTTGTCGATTTCTTCTAAGCTATCCAATTTGCTTCCATATAGTTGTTCATAGTATTCTCATTTGATATTTTGTATTTCTGTATTATTGGTTGTAATTTCTCCATTTTCCTCTCTTGTTTTGTCCATTTGTGCTCTCTCTTTTCTCTTCTTCATGAGCTTGGCCAAAGATTTGTGCATTTAGATTAGTATTTCCAAACACCAGCTCTAGGTTTGATTGAGTTTTTCAATTTTTTAATCTCTATTTCATTTACTTCCTCCTTGATCTTTATTTCCTTCCTTCTGCTGACTTTTGGGGATTTTTTGCTCTTCTTTTTCTAATTCTTGAAGCTGGCATGCTAGATTGTTTGTCTGAGATTGTTCTTCTTTTCTGAAGAAGGCTTGTATCACTATAAAATTCCCTCAGCACTCTCTTTGCTGCATCCCATAGATTCTGTGTGGTTGTGTTTTCATTGTATTTTTTTTAAAGTATCTTTTATTTTTTGATTGATTTCATCATTGACCCATTTATTTTTTTAGTAGCATGTTGTTTAATCTCTATGCTGTCATTTTTTTTCTCCTTTGTTTCTCTGTTGTTGATTTCTAGTTTCATGGAATTGTGGTCAGTAATGATGCTTGAAATAATTTTGATCTTCTTAAAATATTTGAGGATTCTTTTGTGCCCAACTACATGATCTATATAGAAAATGTTCCATGTGCATTTGAAAAGAATGTATATTCTCTTTTGGGTGGACTTTACTGTTCTTAAAATATCAACCAAGTCTTGTTCTATTGTATCATTTAAATTCTGTTACTTTATTTATTTTCTGTCTGAATGATCTGTCCAGTGATGTTGATGGGGTGTTAAAATCTCTGACAATGATTGTATTTCCATCAGTTTCTCCCTATATATCTATTAGTATTTGCTTTACGTGTTTAGGTGTTCCTTTCTTGGATGGATATATGTTAATAAATGTAATATCCTCAACTTGTGTTACTCCTTTAATTATTATAAAATGTCCTTCTTTATCTTTCTTGATGGCCTTTGTTTTAAAGTCTGTTTTGTCTGAAATCAGTATTCTACTCCTACATTCTTGTCGTTTCCATTTGTGTGGAATATCATTTTCCATCCTCTCACTCTCAATATATGTGTGTTCTTCCTAATGTCGATCTCTTGTATGCAGCAGCTTGAAGGTTCTTGTTTTAATTTTTTAATTTTAACATTTTTTATTGATTTAAAATCATTTTACAATGTAGTGTCAAATTCCAGTGTAGAGCACAATTTTTCAATTATACATGAACATATATATATTCATTGTCAAATTCCTTTCTCTGTGAGCAACCATAAGATCTTGTATATATTTCTCTGTGCTATACAGTATAATCTTGTTTACCTATTCTACAATTTTGAAATCTCAGTTTATCTCTTCCCACCCCCGAGCCCCTTGGCAACCACAAGTCTGTATTCTATGTCTATGAGTCTATTTCTGTTCTGTATTTATGCTTTGTCTGTTTTTGTTGTTTTTTGTTTGTTTGTTTTAGATTCCACATATGAGTGATCTCATATGGTATTTTTCTTTCTCTTTCTGGCTTACTTCACTTAGAAAGACATACTCCAGGAACATCCATTTTGCTACAAATGGCATTATGTTGTCAGTTTTTATGGCTGAGTAGTATTCCATTGTGCAAATATACTACTTATTCTTTATCCAGTCACCTGTTGATGGACATTTAGGCTGTTTCCATGTTTTGGCTATTGTAAATAATGCTGCTATGAACATTGGGGTGCAGGTGTCTTCCTGAAGTAGGGTACCTTCTGGATATAAGCCCAGGAGTGGGATTCCGGGGTCATATGGTAAGTCTCTTCCTAGTCTTTTGAGGAATCCCCATACTGTTTTCCAAAGTGGCTGCACCAAACTGCATTCCCAACAGCAGTGTAGGAGGGTCCTCTTTTCTCCACAGCCTCTCCAGCATTTGTCATATGTGGACTTTTGAATGATGGCCATTCTGACTGGTGTGAGGTGATACCTCATTGTAGTTTTGCATTTCTCTAATAATTAGTGATATTGAACATTTTTTCATGTGCTTTTTGATCATTTGTATGTCTTCCTTGGAGAATTGCTTGTTTAGGTCTTCTGCCCATTTTTGGATTGGGTTGTTTATTTTCTTCTTATTGAGTCATATGAGCTGCTTATATATTCTGGAGATCAAGACTTTGTCGGTTTCATTTGCAAAAAAATTTTCACATTCCGTAGGTTGTCTTTTTGTTTTGCTTAAGGTTTTCTTTACTGTGCAGAAGCTTGTAAGTTTCATTAGGTCCCAAATGTTTCTTCTTGCTTTATTTCTTCTAGAAGAAAAATTTTGAGATGTATGTTAGAGAATGTTTTGCCTATATTTTCCTCTAGGAGGTTTATTTTATCTTGTCTTATGTTTAAATCTTTGAATCATTTTGAGTTGATTTTTGTGTATAGTGTAAGGGAGTGTTCTAGCTCCATTGTTTTACATGCTGCTCTCCAGTTTTCCCAACACCATTTGCTGAGGAGACTGTCTTTATTCCGTTGTATATTCTTGCCTCCTTTGTGGAAGATTAGTTGACCAAAAGCTTGGAGGTTCATTTCTGGGCTCTCTATTCTGTTCCATTGGTCTATATATCTGTTTTTCTACCAATACCATGCTGTTTTGATGGCTGTAGTTCTATAGTACTGTCTGAAGTCTGAAAGAGTTATTCCTCCAGCCTCTTTCTTTCTCTTCAGTAATTCTTTGGCAATTCTAGGTCTTTGATGGTTCCATACAAATTTTATTATGATTTTTTATAGTTCTGTGAAATATTTCCTGGGTAATTTGACAGGGAATATATTAAATCTGTAGATTGCCTTGGGCAGTGTGACCATTTTAACAATATTGATTCTTCCTAGCCAAGAGCATGGGATATCTTTCCATTTTTTAAAGTCTTCTTTAATTTCCTTCATAAGTCTTTTATAGTTCTCCTTGTATAAGTCTTTCACCTCCTTGGTTAGTTTTATTCCTAGGTATTTTATTACTTTGGGTGCTATTTTAAAGGGGATTGTTTCTTTACTTTCGTCTTCTGTTGATTCAATGTTAGTGTAAAGAAATGCAACTGATTTTTGAAAGTTAATCTTGTAACCTGTTACCTTGCTGAATTCTTCGATCAGCTCTAGTAGTTTTTATGTGGACCTTTAGGGTTTTCTATATATAGTAACATGTTATTGGCATATAGTGACACTTTTACCTCTTCTTTTCCAATTTGAATCCATTTTATTTCTCTCTCTTGCCTGATTGCTGTGGCTCAGACTTCCAGAACTATGTTGAATAAGAGTGGTGATAATGGGCATCCTTGTCTTGCCCCAGACTTTAGTGGGAAGCTTTTCAGTTTTTCACCATTGAGTACTATGCTGGCTGTAGATTTGTCAAATATAGCTTTTATGATGTTGATATATGTTCCCTCTATACCCAGTTTGGTGAGAGTTTTTATCATAAATGGGTGTTGAATTTTATCAAATGCTTTTCCTGCATCTATTGAGATGATCATGTAGTTTTTGTCCTTTCTTTTGTTGATGTGATGTATTACATTGATTTATTTGCATATGTTGAACCACACTTGTTTCCCTGGGATGAACCCCACTTGGTCATGATGTATAATTTTTTTTATGTGTTGTTGGATTCTATTTGCTAATATTTTGGTGAGGATTTTGGCATCTATGTTCATCAGTGATATTGGCCTATAATTCTCTTTTTTGGTGGTGTCTGTCTGGTTTTGGTATCAGGGTGATGGTGGCTTCATAGAATGAGTTTGGGAGTATTCTTTCCTTTTCAATCATCTGGAAGAGTTTGAGAAGGACTGGTATGGGTTCTTCTTTGTATGTTTCATAGAATTACCCAGTGAAGCCGTCTGGTCTAGACTTTTATTTGTAGGGAGGTTTTTAATTGCTATTTCTATTTCATTTCTAGTGATTGGGTTGTTCAAGTGGTCAGTTTCTTCTTGATTCAGTCTTGGTGGACAGTATGTTTCCAGAAACTTGTCCATCTCCTCTAGGTTATCCAGTTTGATTCCATATAGTTGTTCATAATATTCTCGTATAATATTCTGTATTTATATTTTATTTGTTGTAATTTCTCCATTTTCCTTTCTTATTTTGCTAATTTGTGCTCTCTCTTTTTTCTTCTTTGTGAGTTTACCAGAGGTTTGTTGATTTTTTTTTACATTTTCAATAAAAACAGCTTTTAGTTTGGTTGATTTTTTTCTATGGTCTTCTTAATCTCTATTGTATTTATTTCCTCCCTAATCTTTATAATTTCCTTTCTTCTACTGCCTTTTGGGGGTTTTTATTCTTCTTTTTCTAATTGATTCAGGTGGTGGGTTAAATTGTTTATTTGAGATTGTTCTTCTTTTTTGAGGAAGGCATGTATCTCTATAAACTTCCCACTTAGAACTGCCTTTGCTGTGTCCCTTGGATTTTGAATGGTTCTGCTTCCATTGTCATTTGTGTCAAGGTTTTTTTTAATTTCAGTTTTGATTTCTTCATTGACCTATTGCTTTTTTTAATAACATACTGTTTAATCTCCATGCTTTCCTTTTTTTTTTCATTGTTTCTCCATTGTTGATTTCTAGTTTCAGGGTTTTGTGTTCAGTAAAGATGCTTGAGATAATTTCTATCTTCTTAAAATTGCTGAGGTTTCCTTTTTGCCCAAGTACATGATCAACCCTGGAAAATGTTCCATGTGCACTTAAAAAAATGTATATTCTATTTTTTGGGGTATAATGCTCTGAAAATAGCCACCAAATCTAATTTTTCTATTGTATTATTTAATTTCTCTGTTGCCTTATTTATTTTCTGTCTGGAAGATATGTCTAGTGATGTTAATGCGATGTTGAAATCTCCACTCCCATCAATATCCCCCTTTATCTCTGTTAGTAATTGTTCTATGTACTTGGGTGCTCCTATGTTGGGTGCATATATATTAACGAGTGTAATGTCCTCATCTTGTATCACTCCTTTAATCATTATAAAATGTCCTTCTTAATCTTTCTTTATGGCCTTTGTTTTAAAGTCTATTTTGTCTGAAATCAGTACTGCAACACCTGCTTTTTTGGCTTTTCCACTTGCATGGAATATCCTTTTCCATCCTTTCACTCTCAATCTATTTGTGTCCTTCTCCCTAAAGTGGGTCTCTTGTATGCTGTGTAATGAAGGTTCTTGCTTTATTATCCAGTCTGTCACTCTATGTCTTTTGACTGGAGCATTTAGTCCATTAACATTACAGCAATTAATGATAGATAAGTGTTTATTGCCATTTTGGACTTATCTTTGCAGTTAAATTGGTATTTCCTCTTTGTTTCTGTCTTCTTCCTTTTGTGGTTTGGTAATTTTCCTTTGTGTTATCATGGAATTTATTTAATTTTTGTGACTCCCTTGTAAGTTTTTGGCTTGTGGTTACCCTTTCTCGTAAATCTATCAGCCCATTACTATAACTGTTTTTATTAAACTTATAGTAACATGATCTCAAAGCCAACCTATGAAGAACAAAAAATTTTAAAAAGAAAGAAAAAAATATTCTATATTTCCCTGTCTCCATCTCCCACTCTCAATGATTTGTATGTCTTCTTTTATAATTTTGTGTTTATTTGTAATTCATGAGTTATCACCTTTCCAGTTGTGAGTTTCTCATTTCTGTAGCATCCTGCTGCTTTTCTATTTAGAGTAGATCTGTCAATATTTCTTTTAGTATGGGTTTAGTGTTGCTAATCTCCTGCAGCTTTCTCTTGTCTGTGAAACTCTTTATCTCTCCTTCTATCCTAAAGGATAGCCTTGCTGGATAAATTATCCTAGACTGCATCTTTTTTTCATTCAGGACTTTGAATATATCTTGCCAGTCCCTTCTGGCTTGTAGTGTGTGTGTAGAGAAATAAGCTGAGAGCCTTATGGGGGTTCCCATGTAACTCATTCTTTGCTTTTTCTCTTGCTGCCTTTAGAATCATTTCTTTATCCTTAAATCTGGCCATCTTGATTATGATATGTCTTGGTGTGGGTCTATTTGGGTTCTTTCTGTTTGGGACCCTCTGAATTTCCTGTACTTGGATATCTGATGCCTTCATTAAGTTTTGGAAGTTTTCAGTCACGATTTCTTCAAAAACCTTTTCAACCCCCTTTTATCTTTCTTCCCCTTCTGGGACGCCTATTATGTGAAGATTGACATACTTTATATTATCTCATAGGTCCCTTATGCTGTTTTCACTTGTTTTTATTTTTTTGTCTTGTAGTTCTTCTGATTGGGTGCTTTCAGTTGGCCTGTCTTCTAGGTCAATAATTCGTTCCTCT